TTGCATCAACAAATTGGTATCTAGAGCACTTGGTTATGTTTTTCCTGGGAAATATGAGTGATTGTGAGTTGTGTGTTTGATTTTGGTTCATTGATTCTCTGTTGAAATCTTGAACAAAATCTGAATAGAATGTGATTTTGTGGGTTAGGAAACAGTGTGTTTGAAGATCTAAAAAAATCTGTGCAAGGTTTAAAATGAGTGGAGGCAGTAGTTGGAACACCAAACTTCCAATTTTTAATGGCAAAAACTGGAACAAATGGATGATACAAATTCCTGTGTTGTTTGGTGCGCAAGATGTTCTGGATTTGGTTACAGATGGTTATGTACCAGCTGCAGCAGATGCAACTGAAGAACAGAAAACTACTGAGAGGGTTATGAGGAAGAGGGACCAGAAACCTCTATTCTATATCCCTCAGTGTGTGGATGAAAGTGACGTCAAAAGGGGCGTGGGATTTACTGGTGAGATGTTACGGTGGTAACGCATCAGTAAAGAAGATGAAGCTTTAATCCATGCGAAAGAAATATGAGAGCTTGAACATGAAGAACAATGAGAAAATTTCTGAATATATCTCCAGAGTGATTCTGATCACTAACAAGATGAAGGCGTGTGGAGAAACTTTGTATGAACAGGTAATCATAGAGAAGATTCTGAGGTTGCTTACTCCTCAGTTTGATTACATTGTTGTTTCTATTGAACATTCTAAAGATCTGGAAACAATGAGAATAGATTAATTTCAAAGAAGTTTAGAAGCACATGAGTTACGTTTGTCTGAGAGAAATTATGAAAAGGAAGTTGAGCAAGCTCTGAAGGCTTCTTTTGTCAAGAAAGACCAGAAGAAGAATAAACGTGGTGATAGATTCCAGAAGTCAGAAACCTTAACTTCTGATGATAAGAGATATCATAAAGGAAAGGAGAGGTATGACATAAGGAAGGTTCAATGTTACTCTTGTAAACAATTTGGCCATTTTGCCAGAGATTGTAGGTCAAACAAGGAAAGGAAATCAGAAGAAGCGTATATGGCTAAAATAAACTCTGATGATGAACCTGTGCTACTGATGGCTTCTGATTCTGATGGAAAATACTCAGAAGATTGGTGGTATATGGACATTGGTTGTTCAAATCACTTAACTAGAAACAAACAATGGCTGACAGACTTTGACTCTATAAGGAGAACAAAGATCAGATATGTTGATGATAATTATCTTAATGTAGAAGGTATGGGAGATGTCAGAGTTAGAGTGAAGAATGGGAAATAAATTCTGATCAAAGACGTTTAATATGTTCTTGGTATTAGAAATAATCTGATGAGCGTGGGTCAGCTGATTGAGAAAGGTTTCTCAATTGTTATGAAAAAAAATCTCTTGACGTTGTATGATTCCAATCAGAAGTTGATTATGAAGTCTGAAAAAGGAAGCAACAGAACATTCAAGGTGAATGTAGAAACAACTGAAGCAACGTGCCTTAGTGAAGAAGGCGCTGAAGGTGACAGTAAGCTGTGGCATAAGAGGTTGAGGCATTTGACCTATTAAAGCATAGGGCATATATGTTCTAAAAGGCTTGCACATGGTATTTCGAAGATTGTGAATCCTGAGAAGTCATGTGAGTTATGCATGAAAGGCAAGCAACCCAGATTGCCATTTGCATCAGAAGTAGCCCCCATAGTGAAGCATGCTCTGGGACTAGTACATTCTGATGTGTGTGGACCATTTCCAGTAACTTCGTTTGGAGGAAACAAATATTTTGTGTTTTTTCTAGATGAGTTCACAAGAATGACATGGGTAACACTCATGAAGTTCAAGCATGAAGTGTTTACTGAGTTCCAGAAGTTCAAAGTGAAGGCTGAGAAACAGAGTGGTCAGAAGTTGAAGATTCTGAGAACGGATGGTAGAAGTGAGTATAACTCTACAGAGTTCCAGAAGTTATGTGAGGATAATGGAATAGAACATGAGGTTACTGCTCCATATACTCCTCCACACAATGGTCTTGCGGAAAGAAGAAACAGAACTTTGCTTGATATGACCAGAAGCATGCTGAAAGAAAAAAAGCTACCTCGCGTGCTATGGGGGAGAAGTTGTTGCCACATCAGCATATATTCTGAACAGGTGTCCAATGAAGAAGCTTAAGGAAGTTGTTCCTTTAGAAAAATTAACTGCAGATAAGCAGAGTGTCTGTTATCTGAAGGTGTTTGGCTCTGTCTGTTACAAACACGTTCCAGAAGCTAGAAGACAAAAACTGGATGATAGAAGCAAAGTAATGTTACTGGTGGGGTATCACAGTACAAGTGCGTATAAGCTTTATTGTCCAGAAACTAATAAAGTTGAAGTCAGCAGAGACGTTGTGGTGAAAGAGTCTGAAACATGGGATTGGAACAAATCTCAATCAGATTCTGGTGTAGTGTCAACACCAGATTTAACCTCTGAAGATGTTTTAGAAAGTTCAGAAGATGAATCTGATTCTGAAGATTATGAAGATGAGTCAGAAGAAGATTCAGATAATGGATCTGATTCTGATCCAGATGTTGATGATGATTCAAAATCTGGTGGTGATCATAGTTCTTGAAGGGAAAAATCTGAAGGTGGCAACTCTGAAGGTAGTATATCTGGTACAGCTTCAGAACAAGCTCAAATACCACAGAGAATCAGACAAAAACCAAAAAGGTTTGCAGATTTCGACATGTTGCAGGATAATGAAGTTGACTCTGAAGGAGAATTCGTTCAATGTGCCATGTTAGTAGATTCTGAACCAGTGGCCATTGAAGAAGCTCTCAAGGAGAAAGAATGGTTGAATGCCATGAAAGAAGAACTTGAGGCAATAGAAAGGAACAAAACATGGAAATTGACTAAAGTTTCAGATAAGAAAAATCCATCAACGTCAGATGGGTTTTTAAATTGAAACTTAAGCCAAATGGTTCAATTGGCAAGCACAAAGCTAGACTAGTAGCTAGAGGTTTTCTTCAGAAACCTGGGCTAGATTACTTTGAGGTGTTTGCGCCTGTAGCTAGGCATGAAACAACCAGACTGGTTATTGCTTTAGCCGTAAATAGAAATTGGCCTTTGATGCACCTGGATGTGAAGTCTGTATTTCTGAACGGTCCATTACAGGAAGAAGTTTATATGTCACAACCTCCTGGATTTGTGAAAAAGAATCAGGAAGGGATGACATACAAGTTGAATAAAGCTCTGTATGGACTTAAGCAAGTGCCCAAAGCTTGGAATCTGAAAATTGATTCGTTTTTCAAGAAGCAGAAGTTTCAGAAATGTGAGATGGAATATGGCCTTTATGTGCTACACTCTGATAACAATATGATTCTGGTGTGTCTCTATGTTGATGATATTTTGCTAACAGGTAGCTGCCCAGAAGATATAAAGAAGTTCCAAGAAGTTCTGATGAATGAGTTCGAGATGATAGATCTAGGAAAAATGACATATTTCATAGGGATGGAGATTCTGTACTCAAAGAAGGGTATCATTCTGCATCAGTTGAAGTACGAACTAGAACTTCTGAAGAGATTTAAGCTGCAAAATTGTAAAGCTGTTGTGACACCATCAAAAACCAATCAAAAATTAGATTCAGACTCTGATGGTGATTTTGTTGATACTACAACTTTCAAACAGTTGGTTGGTTCTCTAAGGTATTTATGCAACACTAGACCTGACATTTGTTATGCAGTTGGATTGGTTAGCAGATTCATGAGTAATCCAAAGTGGTCTCATTTTCAAGCTGCTGTCAGAATTCTGAGATATATCAAAGGAACCCTGAAATATGGAGTGTTGTTTCATTCTGAAAGAAAGACATAACCATAATTAGTAATTTATTTTGATTCTGATTGATGTGGAGACAGAGTGTACAAGAGAAGTACTTCTGGATACTTGTTTAAATTTCTCGAAGGTCCTATTTCCTGGAGTTCCAAGAAACAGCCTGTTGTGGCTCTGTCAACATGTGAAGCTGAGTATATCGCAGGTGTTGTAGCTGCTTGTCAAGCTATTTGGCTTCTGAATCTCTTGCATGATCTGAAGATTAAAGTTGAGTAACCTCTGAAGCTGATGATTGATAATAAGTCAGCAATTGATCTTTTCAAGAATTCAATGCTCCATGGAAGAAGCAAGCACATTGAGACGAATTATCATTTTCTTAGAAGTCAAGTGCAGAAAGGAGTGTTAGAAATTCTGTACTGAAGCACTCAGAAACAACTATATCTTCTGACGAAGGCAGTTAAGACAGATCAATTTCTTCGTTTGAGAGATGAAATTGATGTTGTTAGTTTCTAATAGAATATCTAAATTAAGAGATGGTATTAGAAAGATAATTTAGTTAATGTCTACAATTTCCAATACTTATTCTTTAATAGGGCCTTTTGGCATTTTCAATATTTAGTATAAATATGCTATACTAAACTATCAATATTATACCCAATTTTATCTTCTCTATTTGATATACAATAGTAGTCTTGTTATCATTCTTGTTCATTCTTCTTCTCCCACTTCATTACCTTACACCAACAAATTATATCAACTTTTACTAGGACCATGACATAAGAAATACAAAATTTTTTGACTCTGCATTCATCGGTTGTGATAGTTTTCCCTATAACACTAACAATTTTAGATATACTTCATTCCCCTCATAAATGTAATGTGGTAAGTCAGACAATGTTATCCATAGAGGTAAAACTCACGGCAAGTATTCCTTAATCTCAAAATCAATTGACCATTCTTAGGTAAAGCATAAATAGAAATCAATGTTTAAGAAACAAATGGTTGGAGAACAAAACACTTGTTTTCCTCCCTATTCTTAAGTCATAAAAAATACACAAAAAAACAAGAAACCAACTAAATTTTAGTAACAGACATTGACATTATATGTGGCTCACAAGCCACAAACACATGTATATATACTTCCCATATTCGACAGAAACAAATCGGGGAAGAGGAAAACAATAAATCTACCAACAATAAAGCATAATAAAATTTTGTTACAAGTTTCAAAGTTTCAAAGTAAAATGTCAAACAAATTTGTTGCTTTGTTGTTGGTAGTGTGCCTTGTGACTGTTCAAGGTCAGCATATTTCCGTTAAATATGGTGAAAAAGTAGTGCCTCCAGAAGAGTGCTTCCGTTATTGTTTCGCTGCAAGTGCATATCCCGGATTCCTTAGTCAAAAAGTGTGTAAATGGCGTTGTAGTTTCGTCATGTGGGAATGTAAGTTTCACTTCATCTTTATGCTATAAAACCGACTTAGAGATAAACACTTTATTATTATTATTATTATTAATAAAGTGTTTGTTTATGTAAGTCGATTTTGTTTAGTTAAATTTGTTCTAAATTATATGTTTATTGTGGTAGCTGTTGATGGTTCTTCCACAAGGAAGCATGGTCCAGTTGGTACTACTACAGGTTCTCTGGCCCCAGCTTCACACACCCATAAACATAAGGAATAATGGATTCAAGTAAAAACACAAAGGCTTTGTCATGAATTGCTATGTATTTTTATATCAATTTATGTCATCGTCCTCTTTCCCCTTCATTGTCATTTTTGACCATATAATGAATTGAATCATTATTTTCTTTTCATCCTCTGATTGGCAAGGCTATATTTTAAGTATATAGTTTATGATTTATACTTTATAACCACGTATATTTATTAAAAAAACGAAGAAAAAAGGTTAGATATCATCATTTTCACACAAATTTATAGTTTTTTTTTATTGATTTATATATTTTTATAAGGTAATTCAAATAATTTATAATTTAAAGATTTTAGATTATCAAATTTTTTATAAATTTTATTCATGCCATTTTAAATTACCAAAAAAATAAATTAAAATAAATTAAACATATATTTTTAAGTCATTTTACATTTATAAATTAAACCATTTATAAATTAAGCCAACCAGTAATTTTATTAAATATTACAAATTTAATCGGCTAACGTCGTTATCGATCCTAGTTTACAAACTATAAACTATATAAAGTCATGCTATAAGCTAATTTGTCAATTATATCTTATTTAAGAGAGCCTATAGCATTCTTTAAATATTAAGAAATCAAATCATGTAAAGGAACTAATAAACATGTACTTTTACAAATTGGAAATGAAAATGAAAATTATAAGTTACTTTCCTCTCTTATTACAAACATAAAGACAAATTATATATTATATATTTTTCTAATCTAGTAGTTTGACCAAAAATATTTGATGTTTCGATTTTGATAAGCAATTATTAGTCTTCCAAAAATAATGTTTTGATTATTTGCATGATGGATTAGATAATCCTAGAACATTTGTGCATAGATTTTTTAGATTTTCTTAATGATAAGGATTTCTACATTAATGTGAATCTTTAATGTATGCAAGAAAGGTTTATAAAATATAAAGGAATATAATATTACTTTGATTGGAACTTAAACCGCAAGAAAATAACATTAATGTAAATGATTGGATATATTGAATATAAAATACTTAAATACTTTAAGTAATATGAGTTTTTGTACAAATCGAACACTCTGAATTCTAACACTAGGATCATTATTTATACTAAATCGAAATAACTGTAACGAACAGTCTCCTCTTCAAAGAATGACACGTTTTTACTTGCATGTATTTCGCCCTTCACAGGCTTCCACGCGTCCTTGTAAGAAACAGATAAGGCCAAGAAATAATTAATTAGTCTTATTTCAATTATCTCGTCGAAATCATTATCAAACTAAGTCCAAAATACACTAAGTCCTAAAATGATATCACACAGTAGAAGTGAATCCTTTTCACCAATATTTTACGAAGTCTTGCCAAGATCTTCCCAGTCGAACTCGACTTGCTCCAAGTATGTTCTTCAACTTTTCTTGACATCTCAAATCCTTCTTAGCGTCAAAATTCCAGCTAATAAATTGCCCAAAAAAATGTCTTTTTCGACCATATAGAAAAAGGGACATATTTTTAATGCTTTGACGCTACAGTCTTTCACTACTAAGATGTCATGGTCATCATGACCACTTTTACTCAAACTTCTCATTGAGACGTGCAAAATACAGATAACCATCACGATTCCTATTTTGTAGGAGCATCGTCGCATGTGAAAAGACTACCACTCACCTAGACTTTCAAATATGAACATGTGTCCCACGATTTCGTTCCACTTATCACTCCAAAGAAACTGAATAGTTCCTTTGTCTCTCTATAAGTACTCTTTATCTTCCTCATTCAACCCTTTTTTCTTCTTTTAACTCTAGAATTTTCACCGTGCATCTGCGGTTTCTCTCAGAAAACAACCAAAATAACTTCTTTTCACCTCAAATCTTTCAAACACTCTACAATGACGACTTCAATGCACCCGAGCTGCTTGGTAACACGGTCTCAAAAATAAACCTATTTGTAATAACAATTAAGTGAAAGTGAGAGTGTGAGTAGGTTTATACTGAGTCCCATTTAATTATATGTGTTGTTCTCTTTATCATTGAGTTTCTGAGCGTATGATTAAGTGGACAATGTACAACCTTTCATAGAAGATGGATAAGTTTCCTTCATTATAATGTTGGACTCCGACTATCATTGTAACACATTAGAATATGCTTGTACTCATTTATAAATTTACTTATAAAAAAGGCAAAAACATATCAATGGTCCTTTAACTTATTTAATTTTAACAAGCTGGTCCTTTAAGTTTTTTTACTACATGTAAGTCCTTTAAGTTAATTGGCGTGTGCACTGTTAGCCTTTCTTACCCCTTTTTACAATCCTAGATTAAACCAATCACCCAAAATATAGAAATATGCAACAAAATGCATATATTAGCATCCTAAATACATAAAGTAGCATCCAAAAATATAAATTCGAATATGTGAGTGCAACTTTAACATAAGATATTTTGTATGATGTGAAAACTGGGAAAGATGGTACGACGGTAAAATTAATTATATCTCTTTGTATTGTGGAACTCCTCTGCATCATAGGTCTTAAGAATCATCAAAAAACACTTTGAAATCGACCAAACTCATTGAAAAATGTTTTCTACACATTTTTGCATTGCATGTGTCGACACATTCGATTTTCAGGTAGACACATGCAACTCAGTTTTTAAGCATGTAAGCTTTTGTAAGTGATAGGTCGACACATATAACCTTCAAGTCGACCCATACTGAAAGAATTTTAAAATTGCATAAATTCTTATTTTATGTGCCGACATATCCATATTTCAGGTCGACATATTTAATCACGTTTTAAAGCCTGTAGCTACTGACTTTCTCAGGTTGACACATAGAGTCTTTTAGGTTGACACATGCAACCTTTTATAAAGTATGTGTCGACACATATGATTTTTAGGTCGACACATATATTTTGTTTTGGTCAAATTTTCATTTTCTTTTATTTCGAATTTGTCCTTCTTGCCCTAAACTTTTCCAAACTATAAATACTCGGTCATGCATCATTTCTAAATTGGTGATACCATAAAATTAGCCTACTTTTTCTATTTATCTTTAACCTTCCAATCTATACATACGCACCAACATTACATTGTGATGATGTTCCATTAGAGTGTTATCTAGACGAAGAATTGTAGATTTCCAATTGGTCTGGGTTGAGTTCTTGTAGGGATCTTCATCCGGAAAACCATCGGGTTTATCCTTCAACATCATTTGTTGAATTGGGGGTTTTCGTGCAAGATCGTACGAGAAGGAATCATCCATGTGAAAAATTCCTTGAAGTGTTTGAAATATTTTGAAGGAACCTTAGAGTGGTTGAAATATTTTTAAGGAAGTAGCAAAAATTGGATGATAGAATCAATGATCTTGTGTTGATAGTGTGTAATCGGATTTACTCGAGTGAAAAATCCCTTGGAGTGTTTGAAATATTTGCAAGAAACCTTAGAGTTTTTGAAATATTTTCAAGGAAGTAACTTAAGCGGCGAATAGGTTGCATCTATCGGTATTGGTCTTGTTGAAGATCAAAAGAAGAGAAGGGGTTGAATCGACATCAAACAGTTATGTTTTGTATAATTTCTCTTGAACACTTCTCTTGTAACCATACTTTTGTAAAGTAAGAATTATCCTAATTTTAAATTTGGAATTAGGGGGAGATGTATCCATAGAGAGGACTATTGGTGAACTTCATAAACAAACCCTTGTGTCTCTTTTCTTTTTTTATTTACTTTCTTTAATCTTCATACATCGATTTGTCAAATAGCATTGAGTAATTTATCGATGTGTGTGAATTTTCCGAAACTATTTTTTGTTTTGAATTGTGTGTTGAGTTGCTTATAATCACTTTTGGTTATAAGTTATTTTTCATATCAACACAACACAAAGGAAAATTCTGAAACTTTGATTGCACGCCAAGTCTTTTACAAATTGCTTAGCTTGTTTCACTCAAAGGAAAATTGCAATGTTCTTTCTCCTACTTTCATTTACTCTCTATATGCAATGTGTTGAATATGTGGTTTGATTGATTAATTCATATAGAACTTCTCTTTGATTATTAAGATTTAAATTTCTTTATTAATTAGTTTATAATTACTTTGATTGTAAGTGCTTTTGCATATCAACAAATCTCAAAGAAAATTTTGAAAATTTTATTGCGCGTCATATGTTTGATAAATTATCATATCATATTTTTAATATGATTTCATTGGGAATAGGAAACTGTTGTGTTGAATATTAAACGGTTAATTGAGATATTATTATGTTGATTGATTTTATCATTATGATTAATTCCATGTGACTCGTGCATATTAGAGTTTCCAATAACTAAGTTTGTTTAGACTACTATATTTGATCTAGGCCAAAAACCTCTCGCTTAACATTGTTTTTCAAATAAGTTTTAAATAATCATTTTGAAAGGGAGTTTTCATTTGGGGATCTATTAACCCTCCTCTAGATCTGGTGTCGTGGTCTTACAAGTGGTATCTGAGCTCCGGTTTATTCCGTGCTTTGAAACACTTAATAGAAAATGGCGTACGAACCTAAAGGGATTTACAAAACAGCCCCAAAACTTTTTCGGAAGAAAACTATAATTTTTGGAAAGCTTGTATGCACATTTATGTTAATTAATATGACAAAAATATGTGTGACGCTATTACTCAAAACAGATCTATTGGCGTTGTCACATCTAAGTCTTAAGTACTATTGAATAATGATGATAAGAAAAATCCATCAAATCTCATTAATTGTTTAAACGCTCTTGGTATATGTAACGCCCGTAATTTAATTAATTATTTCATTAAATTATTTTTGGAGTATTTCTGAAGTTGTGTTGTGACTAATTGGATTTAATTATTTTATTAAGTGGAGAAATAATATTAGAAATATAATACTATTTGATGTGGGCTTATTTTGAAGGAATATAAGTAATAAGGGGTGTGTGTTATTTTTAAGTCCAATAAGGAGTTAAAAGAATAATAGGTTATTTTATTGTTGTTAGAAGGAATAGAAAGAAGAGGCAGTAGAA